TTGAAAAATGTGACAAGAGTAGACAGTAAGTCTCACTGAGACAGTAAGAAACTACTATCTAATGTTAAAACCATGTAATGGAATCAGTCAAATTGATAATGAGACTATCAAAAAATCTAGTCCTGATCTCAGACACGGTCACACAGTCAGTCTAATAACTGTTACTATATAACAAAGATAATTTCTAATCTGATAATCTTAAGAGTATTGAGACTATACTTTTAAAGAGAAGAGTATTATTATATCTTCAGCTGTGTTAAAGTCTTATTACAGTTTCACACCGCTTATTACTTCTCTATGAATGATTTCATTCATTTTACAGACTATTCAAATCAGTTTTCAATCACTCTATAATATTATTCAGATATAATATAGAATGATCTGATTGATAAATATAAGAATTTCACTTCTATACAAGGTCAGCAGATTACTCTTTTATAACAGTGAGATATCACTGAGATATTACTTCAGCTATTCTCACTTATAGAATAGAAGAAGAGTATCTGCTCATTATCTATATAGAATAGCTAGATACTGACTTCTAATTAAAGAAGTCAGTGATTCATTTTCTTCTACTGAAATATATATGAGATTTACTGCATTTCTTATACAATCTTCTTAGTATACTAAGTATTATATCTGTGATATTCTCATAATAACTCTGTAGCTCATGAGCTCACTATTTAAGTAAGATAGTTAAGCTTACTTATACAGCTTCTTAAACAACTATCTTTACATAATACTACTGACTAGTCACTGCTTCAATTCCGCCACGTTACACATTATTTCAAATATTAAAGATCTCAGATTCACTTTTCAAATAAAAATCTAGTCTTAGATAAAGAATATGTTTAAATTCTTAGTCATATTTTCATTCTGATCTCATTATTGAGAATAATATTAAATAAGATTATGAAATCATTTCTTACATAATATTATAACATAGTGCTTATTTGTTGTGTGGTTCGGAAGAACGTACAATCATCGAATAATAACGCGGCCGCTTCTGAACTTGCTTATGAGTGTAAAGGGGTCATAGCAGCCACTAATTAATTTAGTGTATAATATTACAATATATAAGAAGCCGGCATACACCTGTAATTATACACTGGCTTAAGCAACCTTTGAATCACATCTGATAGTATGTCTAAAAACTGGTGAGAAGCGCAGGCTCCTCCAGGGTGTGATAATTCCATCTATGAAGTGATTTGTAGTTATCATGCCAGTGTGATTCTAGAATGTCTCAAAAGATAGTGTATAAAGAGCAGTGAGTGAAAGAGCATCTGATTGATGCTGCTTAACTTGTTGAGAGAAAACTTCACACTCAGGTGAATGCCATGTACATGAACAGATGAAATGTGAGAAAGAGAGAGAGAAGTAATGAATCAGATTCAAAGAAGACTGCTCTTCACTCAAAGGAATAAAAGAGAGAGATGATCATCACTGAAGTTGTATAATGATAATAGAAATCATATAATAATATAGTGATAATGATACAGTGATATAACAATAGACATTGTATAATCAATGAGAAATCACTGAAATGAATATCTCTTCTAGTCAATATAAACAACACTCTTCTCTGCTATCTAAACTGGAAGATATGCAGAACCTCTCAGAGAGTTTACTTAAAACAGTAAGAAAAGTGACTGAAACTGCTGAACTGAAATCAAAGCTCTGTATATATACAAGGATTCTAAATGAGATTAAGGTCTTGTGTATACAGTGACAGACTGAGACAGAAGTCAAACAACAATTGACATTCACTACAGATCAAGTATTCACTATGAAGAGCTTTGCTGATGCAATTATCATTATTAATAAGAATAGAGAAAACCAGATCTTAGGTCTGCAGTGAGAGATTGAATGTTTATACAGATAGATGACTACACTGAACCTGAAGATCTCATCATGATTGTTCACAATCTCTTCAGAAGTGTATACATTATCAGAGACTACTATGCAGAATGAGAATCTGAGTATGAAATACATCAAGTCAGAAGATCTGCTGAAGTTATTAAGCTTCAATGATGACTGAAAAAATGATGCTGTAAGCAGCTGACTAAGTCAGATGCAATTATATTATCAGATTGAATGTGAACTCACAGACAGACAGCTAACAGAATTTCAACAAGTCTTAAGATCTGCTGTGTTTCTACATGAAAAAGTGAAGTCATTATAAATGACTGATGAAAAGATGAATCTCACAGATCTGAAGTAATATTCATTCTCATAAACATGAAATGAGTTTTTCAAATGAATCTTGCACAACTTTGAGAAAGTGAATATATAAGATAAGTATTATGAATACTTCACTAAGTGTAGACAAGTGAGTAATCTTACATCATACTTCACACACTTCAGCTTATACTATCTTATATTGAATGAAGAGCTTTTAACATCTTTCTGTTTACAGATCTTTATTCATGATCTTACATCTGAGTTAAGAGTGAAATGAAAATGCTTAATCTCACAGTCAGACACAGTGAAGAAAGTATATAACATTCTCATTATACAGGAATAAGTGAGTCAATTATAACAGAAAATACTGCAATTGAGTATACTTTAGTGAAGAATGAGTAATCAGACTTCTATGACACAAGTCACACACTCAGATGTGATGAATCTAGATCTGAATGTTATTGCTAAAGCACTGAATCCTCTGAAAAAGAGATTCTCTGAGTGAAAATCTTGATATTATAAGTATTGAGCTTGCTTCAACTGCAGATGTCAAAATCATGATATAAAAGATTACACTCAGTATATGTAGTCAAGAGAAGTAAGAAAGTCAAAAAACTAGCAGAATCAGTGAGCTTGAAGACACTCACTGATATTCTATGAAAAGTCTTCAAAGTGAAAGAGATGCCTGTATTAGATGACTCTCTGAATTCTGTGAATATCAAGAAGAAGCAGGCTCCTGACTGAGATGTAAGTGAGAATGAAGTGAACACTCATCTCAATGTCTTGAGACCTGAAATGTTAATGTATAAGAGATACTTAAATAAGAATTGAGAGATGACTGTAAAAGTGTTAGCAGACACAGAAGCTTCTACATAATATATTAATAATTATATAATCTGAAGACTGAAAGAAGTCTGCTGAGTGAAGAATCTCTGATGTATAAGATTATCTGATAACTGATATTTGATATTATCTGCAAGAGTAAGAGTTCTCTTGTACTTCAGAGAATAATCTTGCTATATTTGAGTGTGAGAGCTGCAGAATGTGAAATATGACCTTATTCTTGAACTTGATTGATTTCAAAGGTTCAATTCACAGATTCAATAATGTACATATTATATACAGTTGACTGATAGAAAGAAAATGATTCATATAATTCTATCAACTGATATGAGAAGGACATTTCATGTCTCTGATATAGAAGAGTTAAATCTGCTTATACATTAATAAGTAAAGAGAATGATTTGCAAGATCTCATCTGAAAGCATTCTGTATATCATATGAGATCTGAAAGTGGAGAAAATCAAGATAAAAGATATGCAGAAGAACAAGTGTATAAAGAAGCTTCTGAAGAAGCATGAGAAGGTCTTCTGAACAGATCTTTCACTGAAATTATCACTGAAATAAGAATTTGTATATGAGATTGACATGAGGGACATAAAACCAGTCAATCAGAATGTGTATCCTCTGTCACAAACACATCTTGAAGAACAGAAATATCAGATCACAGACCTTCTAGAACATAGTCTCATATGATTCTTATCAAGTGCATGAGGCTTTTCAGTTCTATTCATGAAAAAGACAGATGAGAAGTGACAGATGTGTATCAATTATTGAGCACTTAACAAGCTTATAATCAAGAATGAATATTCACTATCACAGATTCAACAATAGTTGAATATAGTTGAAAATGTCTGATATCTATCAAAGATTAATCTTTTCTCAGAATACTGACAGATCTGTATAGATAAACTGTCAGTTCTGTGAACTGCATTTAATATATAATGAGAGAAGTTTGAATTCCTGATAATATCATTCAGTCTGACAAATGTGTCTGTTATCTTTCAAATGATGATGAATACAATTCTTTATAAATAAAATGAAACCTCATGTCTTGTATATCTCAATGACATTCTAGTCTTTTCAAACTCATATAATGAATATCTGAAGTATCTTGATAAAGTGCTTACAACTCTGGCAGAGCATAAGCTCTATATTAAATTAATAAAGTATGTGTTTGAAATAGAAGAGTTGAAGTTTGTAGAACATGTAGTGAGTGATGACTGTATATATCTTATTCTGAAGAAATTGAATGTCATAGCAAATTGACTGTGGCTGAGAAATGTATATCATGTATGACAGTTTCTTGAGTTAGTCTCATACTACTACAGATTTATCAAGGATTTCACATGAATATCTATATCACTTTCAGATCTCTTAAGAGAAATGAATGTAAATCTGTGAAAGAAGAAGTGTTATTCAATCATCTGAAATGCTGTGTGTGAAGAGGCTTTTCTCACACTGAGAAAATGTGTAACAACATTCTCAGTGCTTATTCAATCAGATTGTGATAAACCTTTCTACATTGAGATGAATGCATATGAATAAGCTATCAGAGATGTTCTTCTACAGATGAGTAAGAATGACAAGCTGCACCTAGTAATATATAATGATAGAAAACTATCAGATGCTGAGCTCAATTATTCAGTGTATGAAAAGAAATTGCTAGCAATTAAGCATATACTGGTGTTATGAGATAGATATATTGACAACAGATATATGATAACAGTGATTATGAATCATGAAATCCTTGCTATCTATAATTGATGACAAAACCTTTCAAATGCTTAGCATGTTGAATCTTGAAGTTTTAAGTGTACAATCTTCATATCAAATACTAAAAGAGATTGAATACTGTGGTGCCTGATACAATCAGTTGCAGACTTGATTTCATGAATGAGAATTCTGTGAATCAGATACAAGAGAAGTTCATATTAAATATACTAAGAGAGTGTAAGAAATCAGAATGAGTAAACATCATGATCTCTCACTTGAAGAATAACAAGATGTCAGATGATAAGTGTCTTATAAGAGTAGTAGAAGAGATGCTTCTGAACTTCAAGCTGAGAAAATTGAAAAATGATGTTATACTTTACTGTGATCTAGAATATGTGAAAGCTTTCTATCTAGAATCTTCATTTAGATATGACTTGATGACTTGCATGCACAAGGAATTCAGTCACTTAGAAAGCCCTGAACTCATGAATGTACTTGAATCAAGAGCATACTGGCCAAGCATGATTGAGAATATTCAGGTGTACACTCATGAGTGCCAGAATTGTCAGATTGTGAAAGAATCTAAGAAAGAGTTAGAATGTAAGAAAGTATAATATCAGATAAAGTATATAATACAACTGTTTAAATGATGAGAGATGAATCTCATAGGCATATTACTGCGGATGTCAAATGAAAATTGATGAATAATCACTGCTATTGATTACACTACTGACTAGTCAGTTACAAAAGCAGTTTCAGAGATGACAGAGAAGATGATGATGAAGTTTCTACATAATGAGATCTATGTTAACTATGAAATGCTGTATGAGATTCTAACTGATAATGATGCAAACCTCATAGAAGGAGTGATGAGGCATTTTATAAGCCAGTTACAGATAAGACATTGTAGAACAATACTATATCATCTGTGAATGAACAGAAAGATGAAATACTTGAATGAAATCTTGAGTAACATGCTGATGAAATATCTAGTAAGCAAGTCTATGAGATTATGAAATGAATATCTTGATCAGATGCTATTAGTCACATGAATTCAGCAGCATGCAGTCTTCAAGTGTTCATCATTCTACCTGTTGTATGAATTGCATCCGCGCATCCTGGAGAATGCTTCAGAAAAGGTGAGAGAGAAAACAGCAGTTGCAGATACAACAGTTATGAATGTAACAGTCATGAATGTAGAATCAAGATTGAAAGAGATCAGCCATGCATATGCAAAAGCTAATGAGTTACTTCTAAATCAAGCAATTCAATTGAAAAGAATATGAGACTCACTAGTTAAGAAATCAAGTCTTAAGATGAGAATGTGAGTTCTTGTATGCAATGAGAGTTCTGAGAAGTTTCAATCTAGATGATTTGAGTCATATAAAATACTCAAATCACATTCTCTGAGAATGTACACATTGAAAGAATCAGAGGAATGAGTCTTATACAACTTAATAAATGATTCATGACTTATGAAAGCAAAGATACAAGATCTGAGCAGATTATGATTATTCATAGCACTATTGTCAGTGTTGAAAAAGAAGAGACTTACATTTGAAAAGTCTCACAAGATAAGAGAAATCATAGACACTTATGAATCAGATGATCTCACTTATTCTGATCTTTTCATAATTATAAGAAAAGAATGAGAAGCAATGAAGAAATCAGATGAATATCACACTTTAATAAGTGATGAGACTGTAGCTGATTGTACAATAATACACTGCAGACAGTGAGTGCAACATGACAAAGAGCAGTCTCAAAGTGACAGACTTACACATGAATCAGATCACAGAAGAAAAAGGAATTCAGAGTTGAATTTGACTGTTTACATCAGTTTAATCACAGAGATCACAGAGGACAAACTATCTGAAACATCTGTGAATGTGTGAGATCAAGTCATCTCAACCCCTGAGAATGCTCAGAGATCAGGTGAGATTAGTTTCAATAGACTGTTCACTGTAGTGATCTGAGTGAGTGAAGAGAGATAGTATAATGTATGAGACGGAATTACAAAAGATGAAAGCTGCTGAATCTAGTCACTGAACACTGTATTATATAGAGATTGTGTAAGAGTAGTGACTAGCAGACTCAACTGTAAGAATCAGCTGTAAAAGACAAATGTTATTATACACATCTTATTCATTTTTATACATCACATATTTAATCTATTTCCAATGCCATGCCATCTGAAAAATATCAAAAAAGAAAATCTCAAAACTTGAGATCTGCAAGGAATTTGAGGGCTGCAAGCTGCTCTTATAATAACACTGTGCATGTCTTCAATTCCTCTACTGCTCTGTGTACAACATTAATGTAATTTATTGCAAGATTGGCTGGAATGTTAATATAGAAATGTGTATGCATACATGTAGAAAAATTGAAGAAGAGCATGAGACTCACAGAATCAGAAGTCAGAACAGAGAAGATGAAGACAGAAGAAATCAAAGAAGAAGATGCAGCCCTTAGATAAATAATGATGAGAGTTATTCAGAGCTGAATGCTTATGATCTGGTGTGCATACTACCTTCTCTGCAGAGAAGGGAGAGAAAGTGATAAGAGGAGCTTGAGAGCAGAAGAGAGTAGTCTCAGCAGTGTTATCATCTTTGATTAAAATAGCCTCTGGTGCTGGAGCAACTAAGAACTATTATTAGTGTATAAAACTGCAAAAGCAGGGGTAACAATTACTGAATAAACACTCACTGGCCTTAGAATTGTACATGCAATTACAACACACATAAGGCTTCTCAGAAAGAGAGAGAGGGACATGAGAGAATGCAGGAAGCAGAATGCAGTGTGTGAACAGCTTATTTTCACAATGACATCTCAGACAAGATGTATAAGTCTCACATCTGTAAGTGTAAAAGAGCATAATATCTGTGTTCTTATTTCTGAAAACATGAATATTCTTCATCTGTATCATGAAGTTGAATGATAAATGCTAGAGAATAGAATGATACAGGTTGATCATGCTGAAGATATTCATCAGAGTGAATGTACCTGTAATATTGAATTTAATGATTGTGAAAAGTTTCTTAGTATCTGTGAACATCATGACTTCATGTACAATAAAACCCATAATGATTTTCTCTAAGAATAGGAAAATCAGTGTCAGAAAGAAAAGATAAAAAGAAAAAGACTTACAATTTTGACACTGTTGAAGAGAGAGGTGATTCTCTGAAATGAATAAATGATTATCTCATCATGAATATTTAAAATGAATATAATAATCAGTGTCTGTGACTGAACTTCAGATAGTTGTGTTATATACTGTCTTTATACAATAAATTGTTCTAGGGGTTGGCAAGAAGAGTGAGAGTGTATGTGCTGAGAAATGTGGTTCACTGAGCCTATGCAACATCTTCTTGAAATGAGGAGAGCTAGTAATGAAGGCAGCAGTGAAAGCAGGACTAGCAGGAGTGAGAGTCACAGGAACAGGGGTAGCAGGAGCAGGAGAACCAGACACAGAGGCAAGTGTAGAAGATTGAGAGAACGCAGCAGGGAAAGAAGCAGCAGAAGAAGTAGAGAGAGATGTGAGAGACCTGGCCACACATGACATGAACAATTCCTTCATTACCATGTCCTTCAAGTTCTCAATCAATGATTCAACATTGAGTTCACTATCATTGATGAATGCAGATCTGTCAATGTGTGAAGATTCTATATAAATAAAAACAACATATCAGTATCTGCATTCATATAAAATTGTGTCAGAAAACATGATCAGAAACTGCTGAGAAGAAAACAGTCAAGAGTGTATGAGAAGATGAAGAAGATGTATCATTTATAATAGTATGTTCTAGCAATCATTAGAAGATAAACAAGTCCTGGTCATGTTTCACAACACATTATACTTACTGCTAATGAACTGCCTGGTATGAGCACTATGATAACTCTTGTTATGAGAATGAGAGGCCATTGCCAGAAATGTGTATAATGTGATAGATAAATGAATAGAAGGTGTTGAACAGAAGAAGAGACAGTAATCTTGAATGAAATAATAATGATGTTTAATGATGATGATGATGAAGATGATGATTGAAGAATGAGAAAAGTTAGTGAATGAATGATGTAATATAGTGAAAGTTTCTTTGTGAGAGTGTACACAGAATGCTAGCTGAATCAGAGATAGGTCACACAATTATAAAATACTAGTGATGAGCTAATTCACATAAAGCTAGAATGTACAACATGGTCATGTGAGCATGACTGAATCTGGTGAGAGAGAATGTGATTCAGAAGAATGTATGACTATCAGATAATAACACAGCTGCTTCTGAACTTGCTTACAAGTGTAAAGAGGCCATAGCAGCCACTAATTAATTTAGTGTATGATATTACAATATATAAGAAGCCGGCGTACATCTGTAATTGTACACTGGCTTAAGCAACCTTTGAATCACAGTTAAAAATTTAATAGAAAGTATTATTAAATATCATTACTTTTCTGAATATAGATTATAATTTCTATAATTTTAATTTTAAAAAAAATATAAAATACAAAAAAAATAAAAAAATCAAAATCAAAATAAAAACAAGAAAAAATCACAATGAAAAAAAAAAGAGAAAGAAAAAAATAAAACAAAAATAAAAAAATAAAAAAAATCAAGATTACAGAGCTATAGTAGTTTTAAAATACTTACTTCTTAGAGTCTTTACAATATTTATTACTAATTATATATCTCTTACAGTAAGAGTAACACAGTTGTAATAAGTTATTATCTTAATATTATCTAATAAATAATCAGTATATATCTGTATAAATGTGAATAATTAGAAAATATACACTTAAAAAGTATGATCAGAGTAAACTCTGCTGTCACTTGAATAATATTAAGAATAGAATACTGAAATCAATGATTCTTCTCATCAATTTCACAGATAAGATATGTGAAGATAATTTTAAAAAATATAAGATTCTCTGACTTCTGATAAAAGCAGATCTCACAGAGAGACTCTATTTTAATAATATCAGAGACTGAGTATTATTAAAAAGTATTACTTTTATACAATATATATACACTTACTGCAGTGATTTACTCTCTGCATATATAACTGAGAGTCACAGCTTTTTCACACTGTACAGCTGTTCTTGAAATACTGTTATTAGTTTGTAACTTACACAGTCTCTCAGTTCAGTATATACTATTCATATACAGCTCTGTGTGCTAAGGCCATATTAATCATTATAGCCTGGCGTGGTACTCACTTTTCACAAGTTATATTTCATTTGAGAGAATGAGAGACGCGACTGCTGTTTTATTAAGAGAGAGATGAGTAATGAATATTACAGAAGATAATTTAATTTCTTCTGCATTTAAAATTTGATTAGTCTATACTCTTCAATTTGAGAGTTTCTGACAGTGTTTTAATAGTGTTCATATCCGCTTGAAATTAGTGATGAATTGAAGAAGAGAAAAGAGAGAAGAAAGAAATGAGAACAACTTATCTTTATAATATGAAAATAGAGAATTACTGTAATTATTCTCTTTAGTAATAAAAATCTATTGTCTGCATATATCTCTGATATAGATTATATAATAACTGTATACAAAAAATATCAATAGTACATGTATTGAATGAAGATAATATTACTATATAACACTGTAGC